CATTACCTGCTTGGATGATGAAATTACAAGGATTTCTTAAATTAACAGATTACTTTTGGGGAAAGCCAAACACTTTGATGGACAAGGCTCAAAACCATCTCACTTTGGAGAAGCTAACAAAATGAAAATAACTACACTGAAGAAAGCAAATCAAACACAGAGGTGACAAGTATGTTTTCCATGGCACAATTCCTAGACAGTTTTCAGGGGTTTATAGCAACCATGAAATTAATACAAATAATGCAATGCTGCTGCAAAAAGAACTACTCAAGGTTTCTCACTACAGCAGAGTCTCTACCAGCAGGCAGCCAAGGGCTGAAGTGGGAACACTCAGCCTAGATTCAGTGCACCCGGGCAGCCTAATCAGCCCAATGCCAGCTGATATGGCACTCAGCTTTCTTGAAAGAGAAAGTCTTTGAGGAAAAGGGTAGCTCTGCAAAGCTCTGCAAGACTGACTCTTTGACAAATGAGTTCAGTTCAAGGAAGAAGATTTAGAAATTGGTGAAAGGTAAACAATATAGAAATGTACTGTGATAGAAGTTTATATTATTTAAGGATTAAAGAGGCAAGAGGGATAGTTTTCAGAGTAACTGGAAGCAGTAGCCTTCTAGCACCTGATGCTTGCAGAAGCTGCTAATTACATGGACTATTTGTGACAGTATATCTGTAATATATGGAGGATAATTATTCTGCTCTACTTGGTGCTGATGAATCCTGGAGCTGAAATATTGTCTGGTCTCTGGCAATGAACTGTAAAGAACAAAAATGGGAGAGATTCCAGAGGATTGAAAGAAGACTGAGAGACTTAATCTATAGTAAAGGCTTAATAACTATCCTTGTCCCTATTAAAGAGAAATGGCTGGGAGCAAGGAATGAAATGTTCATGGAGAGATGTGACTGAGACAGGAATATACTGATCACACATACTAAAGACTTAAATTAGACACTAGGGAATCTTAGAAAGAATAACAAAGCACTCAGGTGGGATACCTAGAAAAAACAGAATTCCGGCTGTTGGAGAGTTCTGAGTGCAGTAAGTAAAAATCTGCTCAGCAGTCATCAAGCTGTGTTTAACCCTATTTCAAGTGCAAAAGAGTAATCCTGAGGCTCCTCCCAGCTCTATACATCTGTGTAGTCTAAAACCTAACATATTTCACATTATTATCCAAGTGACTAATACTCCAACAGGTCTTATATTTCTACTGTCCCATAGCCACCCTAAAGATACTCTATGTAAGCAACTTAGATGTAAGCCTCTCAGTTTAAGCAAAAGTCCTTGCCTAAAAAAACCCTGTACTGCCAAGTGTGTTGACAAAGCTAATGCAAAGCCACTCAAGAACACAAAGACCCAATTAACAAGTTGTCTTACTATCACAGTCCATATACCCGAGGTCCTCTGCTACAGAGGAGAGAATAAAGCAGTCAGAACTGTGTACTGCTACTGCTCTCACAAACTGGGCCCCAGAATCTGAGGGAGTTGAGGATGGAAATAAGGTCAAATGACTTTTACTTCTTTAAATTGCAAGTTATTTTAAAGTACAAACTTCCTATTACTCTCCCTAAACATGAGGACTGGAAAATAAGATTCCTGGAGTAACTCAAAGCTTTGCAAAGGTTTTAAGAGAGCAGCAACTCTATCAAACTCTATTTCTATACTGAAAATTCTGCATGTTACCATATAAGTTAAAACCTACTTTTCACATAGGAAGACCTTTTCTCATCCTAAAATTCAAAGCGTTCATTTTATTAAGCAGAAAGTGTAATATAATGGTATAACCTTTATAAATCCATAACTTGCTAAAACAAACTTAGCAAATATGCTGAGTAAGAGGTCACACTAAATGATTAAATCCCATATATAACTGCCCAAAGCCAAGAATTCTTGTTTGAGCAGCCTTTAATCATTAGCAAAAATCTAAGTATTTGAGAGCCTATTTTGGCCTTACTAATAAAAAAACACATAAGCATTCAATAACATTAGACAATGGGCCTGACAAAGCAACAAACTGCTTTTCACAAAGCATAAAATTCAACTGTGAAACCAGTTGCCATTGACCTTTCTGAAGACCAAACCTACTTAACATCAAAAAATACTTGGTGGGTGTGATTACTGACGATTGTTTAGCATTGTGGTTCTAAAATAAAGCCTAGCTCTAGCAGTTTCTAAATGATGCACGTGCTAAAACATGCTACTAAGAGAGGGTACCCCTTACATGCTGTTGCAGATTCCTCTCTAAACTAAAAGCAATGGCCTTAGCTCCTGAAAATTTTAATATTACTGTCTGCAAATGACATCCTAAGTTTGGTGGTCTTTGGAACATTTCTAAAGAACTCAGGATAAGACTGGGACTCTTCTAGAATCAAAGAGCCCAAGCTTGGGATGTCATTTGCAGACAAGAATATTTAAAAAAATACTCTGCCTTTCTTGTCTACAGTTCAGGTGTTTAATTTCAAGGAAATAAATATCTATGGATAGAAATCAGCTAAATCTGAATAGCAGCATGAGAGTAGATGCCCAGTGTTCCCTTCAACAGTATACACCCTCTAGCAGTAAATGTGGCATTTATAACTCATTTCACTATTTTTCAGTAAACTGCAGTCATCTTTGCTTCATCAAACTTGGCACTTGAACTTATTGCTCTGAATGAGTGCAAAAAGATAAATTTGTGTTGAGTATCACTTTTTGATGAACCCCAGGAGCACAGACAAGGCGCAGAGAACAAGCCCCACAGCCCCATCTATTGGCTAACAAAGTTCTCAAAGCCACCTACCAACCCCAGCTGAAGCGGAACCAATTCATTTTTTGATAAAATTCCAAGTTTTACCATCACTAATCTATGGTATCTGTGCATTAGTAGTGATTTTTACTACCTAAACACACAATAACTGAGTTTCTAACACACTTACATGATTTTTTAACTTTAGATTAGAACAATAAAGCACTCTGTGCATAGTGCTGCTTTTCTGAGCAAGGTTGAGACTGACTTGCTTGCATTCTCCTTCATAGATAAATGATCTGTAGTGAAATTGCAGTGTTTAAGAGGTATCCCCTGACTGTTTAGCTCAAGCTAAAATAACTTGTTTTTAAAGCCAAGGGCTTGAATGTAATTTTTTTTTACAGGCATTTACTGTAGATTATAAGTGATAAATGTTCCTAGCTCCTTCTGGTTTGCAGGGAGTAGGGTAAGTCAGCCAGATCTTGAACATATGGAATAGATTAAATATGACCTGATTGTGTTAAGAGCACAGAACCCAGTGACTGAGTGATTTAAAAGAAAGCATCTACTTATCTGATGAACAGACTAACTCCTTCATACAAATGCAGGTGCAGTCCTGTATGAAGTACGTTACCTCAGGGTAAACTGCAGCTGTATTACAAGTAAAAATCAAATAGCACTCAAGGTTAAACAAATAAAAAAATAGCTTAAAAGTAGTCTGGAACTTGAGACCTATCTGCTTGTCCCTCTAAGTTAGGCTGTGTACTTGCTCACTCTAAATCCCCTAACCATCAACAAACACAACTGCTACTAGTATATGAGCATAACCAAATAAGTTGTCATTCAAACCACAATGGCAGTTAAACTCTGTCAAGGTCTCACTGAAATTTGGGGATCCTTTACTAAAATCTGGTTATCCAACTAAAGTTTCAGACTAACTGCTGTCTTTTAAAAGCTCTTTAAAGGAAAGAGAACTAATAAAGAATCTCAGTAATGCAGGATTATCTGTCTCCACTATGATCTTTTCAGTCCAAAAATACCCTTTCCTTTCAAATAACAAAATACTATTCCTGCTTAGGCCACAATCATAATGAGCAACCTACAGGATCTCTAAAAAGACATTGACTGCTGGGCAGTTTTGCTCATTCATAGCTTTCCATGCTATTATTCAAAACTCCATAAAATAAACGGACTCCATACCTCTTATCCACAAACCTTTAGGTCCTTCTGGTCTACGAAATACTTTTTCTGCAATAAGAGCTACAAAACTAGTTCCCTTTTATGCTGGAAACAATTTATGTATACTAGATTGGGAGGGCATTAAGTCTCTGAGACCTGTGGGGCTTGGTTGCAGAGAAGCAAAGGGAAAAGAGCTACTGTGTGTTTAGATCACAAGTTGTAATCACCACAACCAAAACAGATAAATGAAATGTGTAAGGAAAAAATGGAAAGGGAAGAGTCATGACAGGTCATGGATCTTGTAGTGTTCCACTTCTTGCATCCTACCTTTGACAAACTTAATTTAAATAGACTGTACACCTCTATCATAGTGGCATTCAAGAAAACAGCATAAATCTAAGCCACGACATGGCTGACAGACTCCACTGTCAAACTCCTTGTTCAAAATAACTTAAGCTTATTGTATTCTACTCTCTGATATGGTGGAAATATATCCAACACATGTCAAACTGAAGAGAACAGCATTTTGACATGTAAAAAAGCATGGCAATGCCCTTTTAACTATCTACTTATGGTGTTTACAGCCAACAACTGCTGAAAAAATTATTCACACTGAGTATAACCAGCAATGTGATGGAGTCTTCTGCATGTTGCTTTACTTAATAAGGTGTGACCTGGGGCACGGGGGGTGTGTGCGAAATCAGGAGCCTGGAACTCATGTTTTAACAGTACTGCAGAGGTGAGAAAGTACAATCATTTCCAGATGACTTGTTGGGAAAATATGAAACTTGTGAATGTCTGCTAAAGTACAGCTTAGAATGGTATTTTTCCAATTTTTCACCAAGTTCTCCTTTAACTGTACTTTTCTATAATTCTATTTTTAATACACTTCGAGTAGAAAATTCTTCTCAGCTCTTGATCTACAAACTCCCCTTCATTAATCTGAAAACCTCTGTGAGGGTTGTTTCCTACACTGACAGGATTCTGCTCTTTTCCCCAGCACAATCCCTGGATCAGATTCTAAGAGAAAGCTCCTGTATCAGCTGCCAAAGAACAGCAACAATGTACCCTGACAAGCAAGAAAGGTTCAGGGACTTAACTTACCCCTCCCATTGTAATGCCATCGATAAGTGCTACATATGGCTTCTTGCAAGTGCCTGTAAGAAAGGTAAAGAAAAGCAATGATACATCTTGCTGAAAAGAGTGACCTGTGACTAACCGCCACATGACATATTTCCCCCAGTCCTACTTCCATAAGAGCAACAAAAAAATGGTGATTTAAACACTAAAATATCAACTTGTAATGAAGGTACTTTGTGCAATTCTTAAGCAATGAAAAGAAACACCAGTTACTGACTTACTACATTGTGAGTGTTGCAAGAAAACATTATAGAACTATCAAATGTCAGGCTGTTTGCCATGTGAGTACCTGACAATTTAGCCATTCTAAATAGCTTTGTAAGATGTTGGGACACAACAGTTGCCCCTTCACCCCCTCTCACAGCCTGGATTAACAGCACAGTGTGTGCCAGCCCTTCAGTGCTTTACTACAGAGCCAGAAGTATTGGCAGCTTTCAGTCAAAAATCTGACTATACTGCAAATAGGTTCTGTCTTGTCAACTTTCTTGCATGTTGCACAGCTGTTGCACAGCTCTAAAGGTGGTACAAGCAAGTGCAGATGATAAAGCACCACAGTTTTATCTACAACTTTATCTGTTAGGAAATGATGCTTTCAACTACCATTCATGAAAAGATTCACAAGTTCACTGAGAATGAAACCACTGCCTTGCATTCAGTGCTTTCAGGTCAGTATTAAATGTCAAAACGACTGCTGACACAGGTATCTGCTGCAATGAAGTTGCTAGTTTTTCGGTAGCAACTATAGATCCTTGCTTTAAAAAAAACCCAAAACACTTCTGTAAAAGGCAGTTCAGTCATTCAAATCAGTAGTTAGAAAACGTAAAAGAATTATATTTTTGATTTTGCTCTTACGTGAACATACAAGCTAGTGCATGAACTGTAGCTGCAAGCCTCTCAACTAAAATTTCTATAGCAGCATGCCTTTCCCACAGCAATGCTGTGAAAGCAGCTTCCCTATGTATTTTTAAGTTGTAAAATATAAGATATAAATAAACCTTTTTGCCAGAAATCAGTCTTAATGGAATACAATCATACCAGAATTATCAAAAATCTAAGGTTTGTAATGACATGCATTATAGATATTGAACACCCTAAAAAACTTCCAAAAACCCAAACTCTGACTTTTAAATGATGTACCTTTGCAACAGAATGATCATCAAATCCAACTGCCATGGTAATACTAATTTTCCCCCAAGTATGTGAAACCTTAAACTATTTTCCTTGCATTTTATTGGTGAAGACAAGAAAGCTACATGACAAGCATGCTCAACCTAGAAACTGTCAAACAAAGTTAAAATAAACCCACAGAAATTATTCTAATAACTGTGCTCTTCTGTCAATCTAAGCAACACCTTCACTTCTCCTCCTGCAGTGACTAAGACTGGATACAATGTCTAAAAACTTAAACTGTACTCAAAGCATGTTTGGAGAAGTTTTTTTTTCACCAAAACATTCAACTCTTGACTTTTACCCTAAGGAATTAATATCCTTTACCCCAGTGAACCTCACCCAGTGCCTTTGTTAGTTGCCTGCAATAAACTAAGGCAGTTAACTCCTGGCTTCACTTATGCAGTCCTATTCTTTCATGCAGTTTATTTAAATGGAAAGCCTTAACACGATTTGATCTTCTGCTTTCTGACTAAATATTAATGATTTTCCATGCATCTGGTTTTACCTCAGGTCTTATTTGAAGCAGATCGATGATACAGAACTGCAGTGTCTGCAGCTAAGACTTAATTCTTCCATAGAGGAAATACAACTACCCAGAACAATGGGATGGGATAAAATAGCTGTCACAATAGTTTTAACAAAAGAAACAAATTCTGCATGCAAGGTATGAAAATGTTACAGTACCTGTATTGAACTTGGTAAACCATGGGTTATTACTTCTATGCTGTTATCACAATCTTTCATAGATTAGCAAAGAGATAGAGTAAATTTACATTCAAAGCCACTGTTATAAAAACTGTACTTAAGAATTTACTATTAAACATACCAATGGCATTGTTCAGCCTGTATTCTCCTATGAAGAAGTCTTGTGACATTTTATCTCCAACTTTTCCTGCTTCTGTGATGGCTTAAGAAAAAAAATTTAAGAAAAATATAGAAGAAAAAATTCCAAAGGTAACTGTAAATTCAATAGAAAGTACAAGTAAAAAAAGTTTTTCTACAGCAATTAGACAGCAACTTAATCCAGCTTTATTTTATTTGAGGAAATTTGCTCAAATTTAAATATGAAAGCAAAGTTTCATATTTGAGTCTTTTGTATAATGCTGGAGACTTTGTCACACACTTGTGAGAGTGCAGTCCATTTTCTATGCTATGGAACCCCTCCTAACTGATATTTTTCATATCAATATATAGGACAGTAACTTAAAATTAATTATACTGAAGACTCTGAACACCAAAAATGAGAAGCTAATTAGAGCAAAACATAATTTAACAATAACTTGGGCACCATTAGTTTACCTACCGTTTAAAACAATTGCTAATTTTGACACTTTGGAGTTTTCCTACAGTTCATAGTTGCAAAATAATCACAGATATATTGAACACCATCTTCAGCTCTGTATCTAGTCATCTCAAACAGACAATTAATAGCTATCAGAACTACCTAATAGGACCCTTCAAATTTCTTGTAAAGAAGCTGTCAGTAATGAGAAGAGAAAGGCAGAGACAAGAACCCTCTCTTCCCTGGAATGACTGGCTGCTACTACCAGTTATTCATAAAAGCACAATTTTTACTCTTTTATACAATAGTTGTCTCCTGACAAATAACTTAAACAGCATGTGCACATACAGGTATCATAAACAGGCAGCACAACTGATCTCTCTCACTGTTGTGTAGAAAGACTGTTTGCCCAAGTTACAGTAAGCAAAGGACATCAATGCAAAATAGGAATTGGCAAAGATATGCCAAATGTTTAACTGACTATAGTCCTTACCTCTGATGTCACCCCCAGCACAAAAAGCTTTTCCTCCAGTTCCCTTTATAATTATTAGAAAAGTTTCAGGATCTTGCTCCCAAGCCTAAAAAGAAGTAAATGTTTCCATGTGAGATTAACATATGCAAAAAATGCTTCTCTGTTTACTGTCTATAATTCTTACTTTGATTGTTCAAAAGGCAAATCAAACCATACTTTAAAATAGTTTGTCTTACAGTGAAGTTTGAGAACTAAATGTCTGACACACTTGTGTCCTATTCAAGTGTGACAGCAGAGATCAGGAGAGCTGCCTTGTGTATTTCAAGAAAACACCTGTACAGAGCTCCCAGTCTCTGGGGGAAGGTAGCATCCCTGAAACAGGGCCCAGCATAAATCCCAATGGGAACACAATGCTGGGGCAGAAACATGGGAATATGGAAGACATATAACAACATTTTGGGCCAAATCATGAAAGTTGTCTAAACCTATGATGCCTGACAAAGAAATCAGCTTTTAAATTGATAGTTTTTTCCAAATTACTGCAATCTATGCTAATCAAGGAATGGGTCAAAGCAATTTGTCCACATATGTTTTGTTAAGTACAAAGACTGTGAGTTTTGTTTATGAAATAAATACATTGTTACCTGACCTCAGCAGTGGTGCAGCTGTAGTGAGAAAAAGATACCTTTTAAACTGTGCTTGTATGTCCCTTAATCAACTAAGTGTACTCAGATAAAAAAGAGACATGATATTTCTGTTTACCAGCAATTGCACTTATAATTATGATACCTTTTAAGGTTGTGCTTCAAATAAAGCTCAGTTACTCTACTACAGATTAAGTATTTCACAAATTTGTACCACAGTCATCTAAAATACCAAAAGGCAACAGACAATTATCCAACAAATACTGGCATTCAAAAAGTTTGACTTCGTGCATATGATAAATAGTATAATTAAATTTTAAAGGACTGTTTGCATGCTCAAAATCTCCCAGTACATCACTAGCTTGTAGAAACAGCACCTGTAAATCCATAGAGTTCTCCTTGAAGGAATGACACAGGCAGCACCTTGCTTCCTAATGGTTTGTATGCTCTGTTTCAGCCATGCAATCTCCCATGGAACATGCATCCACCTAAGAGGCAACACCACTGTATAGCTCAGAACCCGTGCATGCTGTCTGACCAGCTGGGTGTTGCCAAAAGGAACACACAAACATGGAGCACTGCTTGCTCTTAATTCAGTTCTGGCATTAATAGGGGTGTCTGTTTAGCTATGGAGATGCTGAATTCAACTTTGTCTGACAGTTTGTTTCTTTGACGTGGCTTCTCTAACTTGCTTGAAACTGTTTTTCCTGTTCTATACATCTGAGCTCATTGGCTAATGCATTCGCACAGACTTTAATTCTTTAAATCAGTACATTAAGAAGCATCAGACTGAGTTTTAAAATTGGTTTCAAATAACATACATATATAGCAGATGGGTAGAAGTGGAGCTACTAACCTTTATTTGTGGATAAATCTGTTGGATCATAGAAAGATTCAGTGCATTGAGAGCCTTGGGTCTATTCAAAGTTATTATTCCTGCACCTCCTCTCTTTTCCAACAACACTTCAGCTGTTGCATCTGTTTGCTTAGACATTTTCTGTACATGCAAAAACAAATAAAGCAAATGTCACCAGTTAGATACTCTGAGTAACCTACTTACAGCAGTGTTTATGGAAATATATTCTCAAAATGCACTGCTTAAAATCATAAAACATACATTTTGGAATTGTATACTAAAGTCTTTCCTACTGTACTTCGAGTTTCATTTGCATTTCCTAAACAGTTCTTTTGGAACCACTTCATATTGGAGTCCTTCAGGGTAATAAACCTCAGACAAGTTTTTGGGCCACACATATTTTGACAATATCATTTGAGTTCATTTAAACAAGATTAAAACAAACAAAACCTCCATCCTACTAATAAAACACAGAACATGATTCCTTAAAACTGATATTCTGAAAAGACCTGCAACAATTAAAACAGTTCCATGTGTCCTTACTGCCAGTCTGACACTGCAAACCCAAATGCACACATTGCTCTGTCTGTAAGTAACTTTTAACAGTACAGATCAAGTCACTGAACTATTTCCACAACTTCAGACTCACAGTGGCATGATATTTAAGGAATTTGTGGAAGCTAACAGAGCGACTATCTATACAGGTGAGAAAAACCAAAATAATTATGCCTGAATTTGCAGTAGCTTGTAAAAGTGCTGGAAAATGTGGGCAGTGCTATGCCTGAGCAATAAATGACAGCACTCAGAAACACTGCATGCAGACACATTAGAAGCTGCATGAGCTGTCTGTCTCAGGGGAGTAAAAGAGTCCTGAAAGCTTGCAACTCAGTCAAACAAGATGCTGTACTTACCAAATGTTGTAATATTACTTGCAGTCTGTTGAATGGCTTCAGCCTGAAAAAGAAATGTTAAGAAGATAGCTAAACCATAAACCAGCCACATAAGCCCCAAGTATCTGACTGCTGGGTTAAGCACATCTTTGCCAGAAAAATTTCTGAATCCAATTTTTACAGCTTCCTGTTTAAAATCTAGTAAATTAGGGTACAATTTCAATATCACAGAATCACAGAAGTGAACCTTAGAGATCATCTAGTCCCAACCCCCCTGCCCTGGGCAGGGACCCCTCCCACCAGAGCAGGTTGCT